CTATTCAGTAGTCTTCCTCTCTTATGGGAATATTCACTGCTTTGTAGCTTGCTGGTAGCACTTTACCATTGATTCTCACCCTTCCTTGTTTGTCACTCACCTTTGCAAACATATGCAGTATCTTCCTCCTCTGACCCTTGCCCAAACTTTTTTATTTGAATGTTAGGCAATGTCAAGGTAATATGCAATAGCAGCTTTGATGTTAGTAGTGTGAAGGAAGGGAGGAAAAAGGTGGCATGTTATAGTCAGTGAGTCAGCATCTGTCAGTGTGTGGTGGCTTAGGTATACAAATTTCTAGGAAAACAAACATACTGGATTTGATATCGGGAGCCTTAGAGCCTGGTTTCCACCTGAACTAATTGTTTTTATTTGTAGCTTTAAATCTTTGGTGATATACAGCAGTCATGTATAAAACCATTCAACAAGAACATATTGTAGGCTGAAGGGAGGAAGATGTGTACCGAGGAGTAGAAATGAAATATACAAAAGGGAGGTAGAGGCAAGTCTGCTGAGTCCTGAGTCCTGAGAAAGGAGGAACACAGCCACAATAATTTGAGGCCAAAATAGTTTGCTACTTTTTCCTCACTTATATAGATAGTGGAATTTCCCAGTTACCTTTAGGAGAAAAGTTATTCAGTGCCCATCTGTTGCAGATCTCAGCACCACTCATGAAAGTCAGGACAGGAGCTGTTCCTTCAGCCAACCAATCAACTTTATGCAGATTAACTGAGAAAGGAGTTTGGTCCTAGAATTGATATTTCAGTTCCTGGTTATAGATCTAAATTCTCCTCTGAAAGTAAGATGCATGTTTGGAGACTTGTTCCCCCTTTACAGCTGTTTAACCTCTTGGCATTTATCAGTCACTACCTTTTATTAGTTGTGAGCATTATCATATTTGGATGGTGGGGAGGTTCAGTTTTTTGAAACGAAGAGGCTCAGTTCCTAGCTAATATTGCAAATTAATACTGCAAACATATGAAAGACTTTTTAATCTCCTTTTCTTAAAAAAACTAATACAATAAAAGGCCTGCAAGCTTAATCAATACAGTATTACTTAAAACATCTTTCAAAATTCTTTAGCACTTTTGACTATATTTGTATGACTGTTCAAACTATCTGCTTCAGATTTCAAGTAATAATTTCAAAAGCATTAAGCCTTTTAATTTTTTTTGTGGGGGTATTAAGATTATTCTTTGATGACATATTATACTACAATCTAAATCTTTTTGGATTTCTTAAAAGAACTTATATTTTGGTTGTGCAGTAAATGGACTTTGTTTTCATGGTGTGACAGATTCAGGATATTTATTTATTTGCTTGTTTGTTTGATGTTAGAAATTGCTAAAACACATGTCAGAAAACCGCATTGTCTGATTAAATTTTTTTATTGATAGAGGTGAATGGATCATATTCCAGTACTCGTTTTGGCAAAGAGTGGCTTCATATTTTAATGCCAGGAAGTTAGGAAGAATATTACAAGTGGATGCTTACTGAAAATGTAAACCCAAATGATCATTTTCGTGTGTGTGTTTGATTAATTTTCATGTTGAGTGGTGCTGCACTAGGGTCTTTCTACTTTCCCCATGACAAAAAAGAAATTTAGGGGCAGCATTACAGTGAAGGAGAAAGGAAGAGTTGTAGGAGAGCACTCTTGAATCTTGAATTGTTAAGATTTTCATGCCATCTTTTGTGCTTACACATACTGTACGGTTATAGCTGAAAGGAAGGTGGCTAATGTGTATCTTCATGCTCCAGCATACTCCAGTTGATGGAATAGCTTTTGTAGGTGATAGACGTACATGTTTATGATGGGAAGCAGCCTTGCAACCAGATGGTTTTGGGCATATGTGTTTATAAATAAGTAGCTTTAAGTCACTTTGCCTCCTTTGGAGCTGTGCTGAGCACAGCTGAGATTCAGACAGCTGTGTTTTCAATGTCATCTCCCTTTTCTGTTCTGTGGCTTGCATCTCTCTTCTGTTTGCTTTGGTTTTTCTGTTGAATGTATGGGCAAAGGGGTGGTTAATACTCCTGCCCTGGAGAATTACTGTGAATGAGAGTGTATATTCTGCCTCTTTGTAAGCTACTTAAGACTTAGATATGGGTCTCCCGGAGGAAAAATGCATTATATTCCTGCTTGTTCTATCCTTAGAACAGACAAGCGGGGTGTGTACACATCTTTGGCTCCTGTTTTACTACTTCCTGACATGTATTGGATGCTGATACATGTAAGCCTCTTATCTTCTTTTTTAAGTTGAGTACTGTCCATGGAAGATACTTCAAGAGAGGTTGATAATCTGGTAATGAAAGTTCAGGCTGGATCATAGAGACCCTAACTATCTTTGGAGTCAGCAGCTGGGGAGGTGGTAACAAAGTGGAACTTTACAGCAGAGCTGGAGGTGGTTGGATCTGGCAGTGTTCAGTATCAAACCAAGCTCTCTGAGGGAGACACATTCAATACAGATCTGTAAAAGCATGGATGGCTTGTGTTGAGTGAAGTAGGGAACAGTACTGCACTATGTCTTTTAGTGCCAGAACTAGGAAGCAGCAGATAAAACCAGCAGACGGGCAGGTGTTTGAAAGAGGAACCTTGACACAACAGATCACCAAAGTGGGAAATGCTTTTTCGTAAGATGTTGCAAATGCTAAACACTTATATAGGTTCAGAAGGCAGCCAACCAAATTCACGGAAGATAACTATTAAATACAAGGATACTAATCTGCTCAGGACTTCTTGTGCCATGAAGTGCTGGATGATGGAAGAGCATTCTGCTGTATGCTTTTCCAGTTTTATACCCTTTCCAGGTGCCTGCTACTGGTTATTGTTGAAAACAGGATATATGAGGATATTTCATGGGCTCTGCTTCAGAAGCCTTTTGCCTGTAGAAAGTGCACTAAGATTTGGGATTGCATTGTAGATTTACTACTGAAAGCCTGTGTCACTTAGGACTGGTTTTTGTGTAGTATGCTTTTGATAGCAGTCCTAGTTTGATGCTATATTTAAGGTCTTGATGAAATTTTCATAAAATAATGAAAAAATTGGTGATTACCTGTATGGTACCAGGACTGTACTTGGATGTTGTGTTTCTCATTGTATTTTCTTATTTCATTGTAAAGGTTAGGATTCCTTTTGTTTTCCTTTGTGAGATAAACATGTTATATTGGAGGATAATAAATTTTTAACTGACTGACAAGCCACATTTAAACCTCCCAATCTGTGTATTGGGAGGAAAAAAACCGATCTAAACAAAACCCAACAAAAGGACGGAAGTATTTAGTTTCTTTGCAGTCTTCCTGAAAGCAAAATGCAAAAATCAAATAAAATGTCCAATGGTAGATTGGTAAACATGGAGTCCTCAAGTGTTCCACCCATTTTATTTTGCTCTGCAACAATTCTGAAAGCATCTCTCAGATGGAACAATATATGCAGCATTTTCTTGTACTGCTTAGAATGCGGATTGTATATTTGTTGTTATTTATTTACCTTGTCCCACTTTTGTTTATTCCTATTTTAGCTTTCTAATTTGCAATTCAACTTCTTTAGCTTTGGAAGTTATTAAATATTTCACTGTGCCTTAAGTGATTCTGTATTTTTAGACAAAATGGAAGCACCGAGTGCTATAGATGCAGACTATATAATACTGTCTTTTTTCCGAGTTAGTCTCATGACATTGTTAAGGCTCAGCGCTGCATTTACAGAGCCAGTGTTCTCATTTAGCCTTCCTAGTTTGTGATTAAATGGGAGTTGCTGCCTGTCTTACTATGAGTTGGCTGACAAAAGCTAAATCTGTCACAGGTGCTACAATTTGTGTATCAGAAAATTTGTTTTCCAAATACTAATTATTCCCAAAATATCTTACTTCACACAAAGCACAGATAACACAGTCAGCAGATTTGTCCCAGTTTTATCATTGTGCTTTAAATTAGGGTTTGTCTTCTAGGGCTTGTAAAGTGAAGATGGTAGAAATTCAAATGCAGGAGAACCAATTGATTTACAACCTCTGATGTGCTTCTGCACTTAATTCTTCCAATCAAAATGCTTGAAATGTATGTTATTCAAATAATCACTGCTAAATTTCACTACTGTAACTAATTGAACTGTTGTCTAGGGACATAGGATAGTGGGAAAAAACAGTGTTGTCTCTTGAGAAGTCATTTAATATAGGAAGTGTTTTATGTCTGAAAGACCTAGACCTAAGCTGGTCATATGCTTAAACTATTAATTTGGGAAGTTACTTTAATATGATGGAAGCTTATCAGGAATTATCTTTCTGGTGGTTATGGGAGAAGAATGGACCCTCAGTTATTGAGACTGTGGTGGAATAAGTGGAAGCGTTCAGTTTATACCCTCCTCAGATTCTGTCATGTATGGAGTGAAAACACACATATAGGTACCTGTGCTCAACACTGAGTTGGGTTCCTGTCACCTGTCCTCCACTGCTCCTTGTCATGGTGAGTCTTTGTGATAACCCATTACAGCCCCAGTTGCCAGTATGGTGTATTTTGACATTGAAGGGCCAGGATCTCCCTAGATAGGAGTTTGTAGTTCAGATAGATAGGCTGTTTTCAGTTAAATCTTTTGTAATGAATCCAACAGTTATCTGAGTGAGTAAATTTTTGACACTAGATGCAGAATGACCTGCTAAAATGGCAATTGGAACTGGGTTTCAGCAGCTTTTCCTTTCATTGCTGAGAATTACCTAGGAATCCCTTCTAAGATTAGACATCTATCTTAAATATATATTCAAAATATTTAGTTTATAGATTGACCTACACAGAAAAGAACATTGAATATTGTAAATGAAATTTTTAGCAACAATTTTTGCATTGCAAACTAGCTTAAGAAACTGTTTATTCCCTTAGGATGAACATATTGTATATTTCTAGATTTCTAACAAATGCAAACATTGATGGGATTTAACTTCTAATAGCAGTGATTCACAGCTCTAGCTGTTTGGCTTGTGTATAGTAATACTGCTTTGTATTTTATTTTATTTCTGTAGGACTATTTAACCATTCACAAGTATGGCAATGCAGCCAGAAATGATCTCTGGAACACATTGTCAAAGGTAAAATGCTTTAATCTATTGCACTAAGGGATAAGCAGGAATTTACTGTGCTACTTTTCTTGGTGAGGTTAGAAGTGAATAGTGCATATTGAGATCTTCAAACCCCAGAATAAATACAAAAATTGATGCCAAGAAATTCCATTTGAGTTAGCCTAGTAGCAATATTAAAATATGGTTTTTTTCAGCATTTCTATTCTTTGTTATGTTAGAATATATTTTTTGCATGTGCTATGTCACTGATGTGTAGTGAAAGATACTTCATAGAATCTGCTGTCATTGACTTCAGTGGCAGCATGCTGAGGCCCATACGCTGTAAAAAACTTGGCTTGTGTTTCTAGAACCTGGTCTGGGGATTGATAAGGAAAGAGTATAAGTTTCATAAAGTGAGCCAAGCATGCCTGAATTTCTTCCCTACATGGCTAATCTGAGCTGGTACATTTAGAGAGTTTTGGCATAAGTACCAGCCCAAGCCATACAGAACATGGCAATCTAGTTGTAACTATTGACATCAAAGATAGATTTCAGCTGGAGGTCAAGACATCTGCGTTTGTCTAGACAAGCAGGTATGTACATGTAAGGTAGGTGTCCAAGCTCCAGTTGTTCTGAGTGAGTCTTAAGTTGCCCATTCATAGACTTCTAATAGTGTTTACCTTAGTTTATCCTGCCTGACTTCCAGCTGCCACATGATATAAGCATGTCCATTATAGGTTACACCAGTTCTGAAAGAATGTGTTGAGTATTTTAGGACATGTCGTTTGATACTTGGTGAATAGGAACAACTGGAGTCCCAGAAATCTAGTCAATATAGTCAGCACAGCATAGAGAGCAATTCAGTTGACTAGCCATTATATGATTATTTTATAAAGAGCCTGAACTTCTGACTGTTGACTAGGGACTTGAGATAGTTGCTCAAATATAGGCAGCTAGGGCCAGAATAGGTGCAGTAGGATGTTCAAGACGTTAAGGTGTGTCTAATAGATTTAACATAATTGTTAAATTATGTTGTATGATATATGGAGAAGTCTGTGCTCTTCTGAAGGGGCAGGTAAAGGTCAAATGACATTAATGACATACATGTGGGCAACTGAACCAAGTCCTATGTCTGTACTGACTGCTAATGAATTGAGGCATGTAATATACAGTCAGGCTTTTAAATCTGTGTCTTAATCTGAAGCTGAATGCCACTGCAAAAGTCTTTCTTGCTTCTCACCTGGTCCTTTTCTCTGTTAAAGCCTTTGGGGCAGTTCTGGGTGATGGAAGGTCAGAGGGATGTATGTAGTCTTGAGAGAACCGCAGAACACACAGCTAATAAAGTAGAACAAAAATGAGACTGTATTTTGGTCCGTAACCACTATGGCTATACCGTATGCTCATATCTATTGTTACAACTAATTCTGTTTGCCTCAGCTGCAAATCTGTTTGTTGTCAGCCACTTTGTTCCAATTGCAGCTTCGGTTCTGAAGACATCTTCTGCTTGTATTCATCAGAGGTTGCTCGGTCTGTGATCTCGGACTGTGTTTGACAGCTAGGAACATTTCCGTCACTGAAGAACAAATGATGCCTGTCATTCTCCTCATGCCAAGTCTCATCTCCCATGAGACTTGGTAGTATCTCTTTGTATTTCAGCTGAAACAGCATTTTTATTGACATATGGAATCAAATATGAACACATTAATCCTCCATGTATTATGACAGGTGCAGTTTATGAAGCAGCAGGGGTTATCTTGGAATATATAGCCTCACTTTGGACATAAGGGACAATATTTTCAAATAACTAGTCATTTGATTTTCAGAGCAGAGGAGCTCTGTTAATTTAGAGCCCTTCAAATGTGCCTTGTTGGAGGTGCCCTAGATCAACTAACACTTTTTTAACCTTAGCTGGTCAAGAATATATTTTGGAGACAGCCATCCAGTATTTCTGTGGCTGTTGTTAAAATCCTGTAAAGCAGGTGCCTGAGTGATGTGGGAAGCATGATTTTCTGACTGTCACTCTCCTCTCTGTTAAGATTACTCAACATTTATCTTTAAAAGTACGGAGGCTTTTGGTTCAGTTATGTAGTCTGTGTATTGGGTGTAAACGTGCATGTGTGTCTTGCACACACATGTGATGGTTATTTCAACCTCCCAAACTAGTTATGATCTCCAGGACCAAAAAAAAAAAATAAAAATTTTACATGTTGGGTGATGATACTGCTTCAATGTATTGAAACTTTTCTTTTTCCTTCAAGGCTTTAAAAAGGGTTGGAAAATCGGTAAATATCCAAGAAGTAATGGATCAATGGACACTACAGATGGGTTATCCTGTTATCACTATCTTGGGAAATGAAACTACAGACAACATCATAGTCATCTCCCAAGAGCGTTTTGTTTATGATAGTGATGCTAAACCCAAGGATCCTTCTCGTGGAGACAACAGGTACTTATATTTCTCAATATCTTTCAAGAAGTTGTTATAGTTTAAGTAAGTGCTTTATGTGAAGATGGCCCTTTAGAAATCTGAGCTTTGCTTGGTATCAATAGCATGTGGTGACCCTTCTGTTTGAACTGTAAAGCTGAGGCTAGTTAAAAGAATTGAAAAAAATTCTCCATTTGCATCCTGACAGTTCCTGTGACAGCGTCTTTCATCACACATCTGTTTCCTCTCCTTTTCTTTTGATTTTGTCACACTCCATGAAGTAATTTGTAATGTGGTTGTAAGGTCTGATACTTCTTTTTAAGAAATTGTTTGGAGTGAACCTCTCCATGCTAATACATTGATTAGGCAGATGTAAATGCGTGTCAGATACATACTTTGCTTGACTTGGGAAACAGTCAGGAGCTGAACTGGACCTCTGTGCAAGGCAGGGGGTTTCATTTTTGAAGCCAGTTGAACTGGTCCTATGGGAACTGTAACATTGGCTGAAATCGGCATCTCTGCCTCTACCCTTTTTCCACTTATATTGGTTTTTTCCTGCTCCCAGCTGACTCCACACACTTCCTTCATTCCAGAGACAAGCTGACATTCCTGGCTGATCCTGGAGAATCCTCATTGTTTAAAGCAGTTTTGGCATCGTATTTTAAGGCCGAGAATATAGAGCTTATGATAGAGAATTGCAAGATAGCCTTTGAAGTTTCTGTGTTGACCTGTTCATGTTGGTGGGAAAGAGGACACACTGTCAACCTGAAATACTCTGTTCGTCCAGTAGATTTAAATTATTAAAATTTAATATGAAATTTTGGTTGACGTGTCTGGAGCTTGTAGAACATTCCTGTTGAGGAAGGCCTAAAATTATAGTTACATTTATTGGAAAGTGTTTAGAAGTTCATTATCCTTTTTTAGAACACGAATATTATGGAACTCAAACATGACACAGAAAAAACAGTTGTTTTTCTGGCTGTATTGGAGCAAACTAAGAGGGTATTAAACATCTGTTTAAGTTCTGGGCTGAAATGATTTCCTTTTTGAAAAAGAGATAAAACAACTGAAGGTGGAGTGTTGGAAGTGTTCATGACTCACTGTTCAGTGCAGCAGGAGAGAGATTCTCCCTTATTCACCTGAGAATTTTTTTTGTCCAAGTGTATATATGCGTAATGTAATGTGAGTGAATTTTACTACTCAGAAGAACAAAGATTATTAGTTTTTTGATTGACTAAAACAGATATGTTAAGCCTTTTAAGTATTGCAGAGACTTTCTTAAATAGATTTTCTAGGTATTCAGTATTGATTGAAATAACTTCTGCTGTATTTCATGTGTAAAGACTACTGGGTGTGTAAATGATATCAGGAGTGATGTGATGGTTTGACCTGGCCGGATGCCAAGTGCCCACCAAAGCCGCTCTATCACTCCCCTTCTCAGCTGAGCTGAGAAAGACTCGTGGATCGAGATAAGCACAGGGAGAGATCACTCACCAGTTATTGTTACAGGCAAAACAGACTTGACTTGGGGGAAAAAAAAGTAAAATTATTGCCAATCAAATCAGAGAAGGGTACCGTATAAATACAATGAAATCTTAAAATACCTTCCCCTCAACTCTTCCTCTTTCCAGGCTTAACTTCACTTCTGATTTTCTCTACCTCCTTACCCCAGAAGTTCAGGGTAATGGGAATGGGGCCTGCAGTCAGTTCATCACTCATTGTCTCTGCTGCTCCTTCCTCCTCAAGTGGAGGGCTTGTGACACTCTTCCCCTGCTTCAGCATGGGGTCCCTCTCATGGGAGACAGTCCTCCATGAACTTCTCCAGTATGAAGCATTCCCTTGAGCTGCAGTTCTTCACAAACTGATCCAGCATGGATTCCTCTCACAGGATGCAGTCCTTCAGGATCACACTACTGCAGCATGGATCCCCTGTGGAGTCACAAGTCCTGTCAGCAAACCTGATCCAGTGTGGAGTCCTTTCTCCAGGGGGGCCACAGGTCCTGCCAGGAGCCTACTCCATCCTGAGCTTCCCATGAGATCACAATCTCCTTTGGGCACCCACCTGCTCCAGGGGTGGGGTCCCCTACAGGATGCAGGTGGATCTCTGCTCCACTGTGGACCTCCATGGGTTGCATGTCTCACCATGGTCTGCACCATGGACTGCAGGGGAACCTCTGCTCTGGCACTTGGAGCACCTCCTCCCACTCCTTCTCCACTGACCTCAATGTCTGCAGGGCTGTTCCTCTCACATATTCTCTTTTCTTCAACTGCTCTTTCCCAGCAGTATTTTCCCCATGTTACCCCAGAAGCACTACCACTGTCACTTATGTGCTTGACCTTGGCCAGCACTGGGTTGATCTTGGAGCTGGCTGGCACTGGCTCTGTTGAACATGGGGGAAGCTTCTGGCAGCTTCTCACAGAAGCCACCCCGGTAACACTCCTGCTACCAAAACCTTGCCATGCTAACTCAGTACAAGTGAGAATTAGATTTAGTTTTATTTTCATACATGACATTAATTCATAATTTAAACTGTATCTTGTGATATGTGGAACAGTATTATTCTACACCAGCAGGGCCAGTTCTGCTGGGTTTCTTAGGAGATTTTGTCCACAGATTTTATCACAATTATCATTTCTAAATATTGGAAATAAGATTTAGTGCTATGGAAAGCACGAAGAAAGATACCAACATGAGCCCTGCCAGGAATTTAGTGTCCTAACAGGCAGTACAGCACATATGTGTATCTCCTTTGGCAAGTCTCTTTGCCCTTCTTTTCCTTCTTTGGATTTGTTTTTTTTTCTTTGCTTCCATGTCCTTTTAACCACAAATGAGAAGGCCTTTGCCCAAGGAAAGCTCTACAGATGAATTGTTTACTCCAGCCAGTTAGAAGACAAAGTTAATTTGCCGCTTCCCAGTTGAAGTTATTTGAAAGTCATATTATGTATGACATAATATGACATACAAAAGAACAGGAACCATATACATTTAGCAAAAGGTGAAACTTACCTATGCCATTCACCTTTCAAAAAACATCCATCAACTTACAATAAAGTCTTATGACTTAGTTATAAATCGGTGCCTGGAGTGTTATAAAACTGACCATGCAATTTGTTCATGCACTGTCCACAGGAACATGTGGCTAGATATGTGCAATGGCTCTGTGTCGTTAATGTCCTTTCATATCGACATATTAAGTAAAAAGCAAGACTGACATACTGAAAATAAACTTAATCTTTTAGCCAGCAATGACCTAGATATTTTTCAGGGGTTTTTTTGTGTGATATGTTTTTTTCCCCCCACTGGAGAAGTCACTATTGCTTCAGTTACTGTGAAAGCAGTAGACAGGGAAAATCACATTACTGTGTGGCCATTTGATAATTCATGATGCATTACTCTACCTTGGTTTTTAACATCGAAAGAGCTGAGCTTTGTATGACATGATACAGCTTTTCTACAGGTACACCAAGAGGAGTGATAACTGGAATGGAAAGAGCACATTGAGGGACATTAAGCACTAGTGGGTTTGCTGATGTTTGATGATGAGATATATCTATCTATCTGTATATCTATATATCTATATATCTCATCAACATGCAGTCTTTGGAGGTGTTACGTATCAGTGGCCTCATTCACAGTCCAATAAAGTTGGTACTTATTTCCCCTGAATGACCTATGAATTTAGGTGTTATACACGTGGCTTCCTGGGGAGCCATAGTAGGCATTATAAATAATGGGGAGCAAATATTGTTTATGCCACATTTGAGGTCATGGTCTTGCAGGGCAGGCAACATTGGCTTCCTTAGGGTAGTTTAACTGTGGATAAATTTTGATGATCATTTTAAACACCATAAAGAGTAGAGCTGCACAAAACACAGAAAAATGTACAGGTCCAGGCTTTTCCAGGAGTTTATCATTTAAACAGACAATACGGTTTGCACTGGAAGGCTCCAGGGAAGGCTCTTAAAGCATCCATCTGCCATATAGTCTTTAGTTATCCAGAGGTGGGGCTGTAGTTTGGTATGGCACAGCAATAAATGTCAATTCTATTGCCTTCAAAATGATGAGGAGTTTAAATTTCTGGTTCAGATGCTCTCTAGGCAAATTTAACTTTGCCTTACTGTAGAAAGAGTCACTTTGGAGTAGGTCTTTCAGATGTATCTACTGCATAAGAAATGTAAATAGTCAACCAAGTATTTCAGAACCATTCTAGTTTTATAAAATGTCTGTGCTTTTCTTTATGCTGTGTATTTATGCAGCAATTAACTGTTAAAAATGGAAGTGAAGCTGCATATGTAATTTTTCTCTCTGAAACCATATAGAGGAATACAGAAACGGCAAGCAGATTTTTTAAGTGATAAATGGTAAAAGTAAAAGTTGTTGATACCTTTGGCAGTGGTTGATGCCTAGTCTATTATTGTAAGTATCTTTAATTCTTCTACAGAAGAGAATGATTACATATGGTTGATTTTCCAATCTCATGTATATTTGGGCTCCATGTCTTTATACCTGCAAAAAAAAGTGTTTCAACAGCCATACATATATAAACTGTGATTTAACTCTGTACATAGAATTGACTGTAGGGCATGCTAAACTCTAATATTTGACCTGAAATTATAGAAGGTATACAATTTCACTTCTTTGCAAACTGAACACAGATTTTGCTTGACACTTACATGGTCACATCCATAGTTCTCATTTTATGAGAAAATAAAACTAACAGTGACAGACACTGTTTCTAGAAATGTCATTCCTTAGAATGGCCAAAATCACCAGCCTTGATTTGAATGTCAAAGCGTATGGTTGGTACAATGCTTCAGTAGAAATTTCAACTTATCCAAGCAAAACTTTAAAACTTCTATAATAACTGTATAATTCATATTCTACCCCCATATAAAAATTCTTTATTTAAGTGTAGGTTTGGTCCTGGACTCCTGTATACCTCTGTGAGAATGGATTATGCTCTTACATTATAAGGCTACAGGGGAGAAGGTGATATTACATCTGACAGGGTTCACTGGGT